ATGCAGGACAGTTTGGTTTTTGTGCTGGTCCCCTGTGTTGTGTTGTCCCTCCCAAATGCTGAGCTCTAGAGACTCTAAATGATGAACAATGATTAAGTTCAGTTAGAAAAAAATCAATTTATTTGAAGTTTCATGTTATCTCTAGCTTCCGTAAACAGGGATCTTGCTTTCCTTTGTCAGAGAATGTGTACAATTTGCTGCTAGATATCTTTTCTGTGCACTTACTGACACTGGGCAAGTCACCTCTCTGTCTTCTCTTTCTGGAGCTGAGTAAATGCTGTTCCTTAATTTTCATGTTACAAGCTTTGATATTAAGCTTCCAGAGTGTTTTCTTCTGGACTATTTCTCTCTCTCAATTGAACTGTCTGCTGTTTGCACTTTTTTTTTAAATGTGGAAAACAAATCTTGTCACAGTAATCTCATAACAGTCTTGCCAATACAGTCTAGATTGCAAAATAATTTAATTCTGTATATTGCTCCCCATTGCAATAGTGCTTCTGCCAAAGCATAATATGGAAAGATCATGTTGAAATGATTATCTGTGACAACCTCTAAATCCTTCTCAAAGGCACTGCTTGCCAAGATAGCTTCCTATGCTGTACATACTGCCTGCATTATTTGTCCCCACATGAATTGCTTGCATTTGGCTGTATTAAAATGTTTTTTTGACAGATGATTTGACAAGCTGTTATTACGATCCCCACCGATTTTTTGTCTTGTCCACAAACTGTACTAGTGAAGCTACATCACTGTCTAAAGATCATTGATGTGAACAAATAGGATTGAAGCTGATTCCTGCTAGAAATGGGTCTGCTTCTGATGCCTTTGTACCAACAATTATAGTTGAGATCTGTCAGAAGGCCTGTCCTAATCTGTCCAGTCTCTTCATGTAATACACATTTGTCAAGAAAGATGTCTTGTGGTGGGAAGTGCACCCAAAAAATCCAGGTGTAATGTATCACGACTTCTAGAAGTCCCATAATACTCTAAAACAAAGCAAAGCAGGCAATCAGGTGGACAAAAACAATTTTTCGTGTCTGCTGGTTTTGGCTGGGGTAGAGTTAATTTTCTCCTCATAGCCTCATAGTATGAGGCTATGTTTTGGATTTGTGCTTAAAACAGTGTCGATAATTCAGGGATGGTTTAGTCACTGCTGAGCAGTGCTTGCACAGAGTCAAGGCCGTTTCTGCCTCTCACCCCACCCCACCAGCGAGTAGGCTGGGGGTGCACAAGAAGTTGGGAGGGGACACAGTCAGGACAGCTGACCCCAACTGACCCAGGGGATATGCTGTGCCATGTGACATCATGCTTGGCATATAAAGTTGGGGGAAGAAGGAGGAAGGGGAGGATGTCTGGAGTGATGGTGTTTTGTCTTCCCAAGTAACTGTTACGTGTGATGGAGCCCTGCTTTCCTGGAGATGGCTGAATGCCTGCCTGCTGATGGGAAGTAGTGAATGAATTCTTGTTTTGCTTTGCTTGTGTGCATGGCTTTTGCTTTACCTATTATCTCAACCTTGCTTTACCTGTCTTTATCTCAACCTATGAATTTTCTCACTTTTACTCTTGTGATTCTCTCCCCCATCCCACTAGGGGGGAGTGAGTGAGTGGCTGTGTAGCACTTAGTTGCTGGCTGGGGTTAAACCATGACATCATGAAACTGTAATAAGTTGAGTGATACTTTTCCTTCTAATTCTGTTAGTTCCGTAGTATTTTATCCAGTATTGCTGCAAGGATGATGTGTTCCTTCAAATAAGCCATCCCTTTTGAGATATTTCTGAATGTCAGAATTGATTTAAGTTTTATTAAACTAAATGAAAAAGAGCTGGTGCTAACAGCTCAACACTGGCAGTTCATGATACTGCTGACTGCTTTAAATAGTATGTCTTCAGAGTTACAAATACATATGTGACACAATGGTGGCTTATTTTGTTGGTACAAAGTTTAGCAGACTGTGATCATTGCAGTGATCCGAACTTAATTTTTAGGTATGCTATCTACCACTCTTCTGGCTGCTTTACTATATGGGATTACTCTGAATATCTGTGAAGTGCATAAAGTAACGGTCTTTGTACACAAATTTCAGTTCAAGTTAAAATGTATGTTAATTAGATTGTGCACCCATTGCTGTAACAAGGCATGCCCTTTGGCATTTCTTTTCCATGTTTTGAAGATTCCCTTCACTAATGCAGGACAGACTGACTTCAGTTTTCTTCTGAAGATTGGTAGACTTCTTTTGAAGTTGTCATTGTGCAGACAATTCCTGCCAAACATATGGAAATGTAGGAACTGGCAGCCTCATCTGGTATACTGCCTCGGTTTTGACACTGTCAGCAGGAGACATTTCAGAGGAAGTTCAGGGGAAACCCTGGTGGATAATTATGGGAAGACTCATTCTGTTATTAATACTTTGCTTATTTAGTAAGGCACTGTAAATTGTATTTAGCCTCACACACAGAAATTAGCATTTAACTCTTAATATTGTTCTGATTTAATTAACTGTTAAAGCAAAGCTATTCTCAGCAGCTTGTATTGTGTTAATAAAGACCCTTTCCATAATTGTGTGTGGGTTTTTTTTTTTTCCTTGCACATCTCCCTGGCATGTTTCTGTATCTGTAATTTTCTGCTGAGTTTTCATGAGTGCTTGGCTTGACAGGCTGGCTGCACAGTGTGAGCACTTGGCTTGTGAAAGACTGTCAGGGCTAGCAGAGCTGGATGGTTTTGTCCTGACTACGCTACCACTGCTTAGTACTTGAACCACAAGGCAGGTCTGTGCTAGGACAATTGGTTTGAGCTTGAAGTACCTCTAAACCTAAGCTAGATGTCTCTTGGTGGTTGGGAGTCACCCAACACTACAATTCATTTGTGTTACTTGGTAATATTTTGAAAAATACTGCAACAGGAAAGAAAGATGTACAAAGTCCTGTTTCTGCGATTCCAAGAAAATGAAACCTAACTTAACTTCAATAATCTTTTTAGAAAGTCAGCTTTTCCTCTCAGATATGTAATGATAGCACTGATAATACTGAAATGCTGCTAATGAACATTTTCCCTAGCCTGTCTTACCTTAACTAGGCAAGGATCAAGTGTTGTTCCTACCAATAAAATATAGGAAAGAGTCTGTTTATTCCCAGCCACAATTCCCATATAACCAGCTGAACACTGCATTGTCATCTCCTTAGGATGGTCCATTATTAAGTATTATGCCTTGCATGATGAGGTTCCCCCCAAATTCTTGTGTGACAGTTGGCAATATTATGCTCTGTTATAGTCATACATGGTTTCTGTAGGAAAACTTAAGTCTTCCATAAGTTCTTCTGTAGGAAGACTTAAAAAAAAAAAATCAGAAAATGGATCATAAATTGCACTGGTTTTTAAATGTAATGTTTTTTGAGGGTCTGACACCTCTCTTGAGGCTGGCAATATTATACCTGTAATAATGACATAGTACAATGGTAAGCATAAGTATCAATTGACTCTGTTGCATCCTAGAAAGTTGGGCTGAGTTTCCTAGGAGGTCAGGTTTTTAACCCTGGAGGGACAAAACATTAAATGTATTCTTGGAGTATCAAAACTTGAAAAGAATGGAAAGAAACAGAAGTTGTCAATGGTCTGAACTTTTCAGTCAAATAATTTTGTTCCAAAGTTAACCTCCAAAGTCTTCTAATCCCTATATACAATTTATAGTATGTAATAAAGGCATAGATTACCATCAGGGGATGCTGCAAGCCTACAGTCCTCGTTTAAGCTGGAGCTTTATATTTGAACTTTCAAGTGAGGCCGGAACAAAGCATTTGTAGATTCCTTCAGGAGTGCCAGCTGTTTAACAATTTTAACACATGCATTATAAATGGAAAGTATTTTGGAAAAAAAAAATACTAATATGCTTATACCACTTAGAATGACACATTTTTTTCTTTAGTGTTACTCAGTGGGGTAGAGTTGGACCCATCTTCCTCTAGATGCCATTTGGGGGCATGTAAGAGGTATGTACACAATGCTTTGCAAGGAGCCAAGAGGGAGTTTCAGCAGTGTGCCTGCAATACGCTGCCACCATCAGCTACGTAGATCTTACCTAAAGTATTTCTGCATTTCTCAGTGCTGCATTCTCTGCTTCTTCATTACTTGGAAAGATGCATTTATTTAATATGAATTTCCTTGTACATGTACTCTGTTAATTATCCTGCACATATTCAACCAGGAATAATGTCATGTTTCCATGAAAGCTCTGCACAAATTCTGCATTTTAAACTGCATGGCTGGTGATCTTCCTTCTGACACTGTAAAATGCAAGAGTCTGAGCATGCTAACGTTACAATGACAACTACTTAGGTAAGGTATTTAATCACACTGAATAAACCTTCAGCGGATACTAATATTGAAAGGAGAATAAAATGACTAGTTTTCCTTTATAAATGCAACTATTTAAATCACAAGTTAACTGCTAATGGTCATAAGCAAGACATGAAAATGCAGTGACACAATATAGACAATATATTCTTAAATAGGCAGTGAATAAAGTTGCTCAGCTATCCCATCTGGATATTAACCATGTGACATTGCCAGGTGCAACTCCTTAGTTCACTAACATCTGATGGACCAGATGTTGCAACTGGAAGAATTCTTTCCACTGCTCTGCATCTCAGAGCAGAAGGGTGTGATGGACCATGGGGATTGTACCTTCTGCACCTTGTGCAACATTTTCCCCAGCACTTTTTTTTTTGGCGGGGGAGTCATATAAACCAGGAAATATTTAGGAAATAAAGCATGTTGATTAAAACCAAGATACTGTTAGTCTAGAAGTATTATATTTTGCTTATGAAATCATTAAAATTCTTTCATAATCTAAGCTTGAGGAATATTTCCTTTTAAAAAAGCTACTAAACATTTAGAAAAAAAAGGATTGTCTTGTGGAAGATTTTGTAGCCAGTTCTCCTGAATACTGAGTATTGAAGAACTATGTGCTAGAAGCTGACTTTCTCTTTTTTGCAGATGGTCCTGTGTCAGTTGGAATGAGTCTGGATATTGCAAGCATTGATACAATATCAGAAATAAATATGGTATTGTAGCTTTTTCAATCTTTCCTGTTTTGCTTGTCGATAAGCTAATGTCTTGTGTTTTCAGTTGCTCGCAATGTGACTTTGAGGCTTTTCCCCTTGTGCAGTCAATGTGTGTTAGGAGATGGAATTTTATTTTTCACTACAGATGGTGGTTATAGCACTGTAATAAGTATAGAAATGCAGATGCGGATCACACCTCTCAGTTACAAACAAATTTGCTCCTGAGTATTAATCCTGATGAAAGGCATATAGAAGAGTATTTATTTTCCAGATGAAATGTCTAAATCTTTATGCATTTCAGAAAATTAAAGATATATTCACATGACTTTGAAGCCATTCCCTTTCCATGTGATTAGACACAGCTGAACTTGTATTGTTTTTCTCTTCTACTGTTAACTGTCACACTAATTTATTCCAGCTGTGTTTCATTACATTTGTATCATTTATTTTTGAACAAACTATGAAATGGAGTATACTTTTCTAATTGAAGATCCTCCATTGGTACGTAGAAATAAAAGGCAAAATTCATTAACCAGATATTAAATATTAGAAAATATTTTTGTGTGTGTATATATAAAAAATAGTGTACCCATATAAATAAATGTATATATCTCTAAAAAGTTTATATAAAAGTACCTCACCATTTCATTACTCAGGCTTCCACAAAAGTTGAATACTAGAGTCCCTCTGTACTTAGTAAGTATTAGTATTTAGAAAGGGGGAAGTAAGGTCAGAACTCAAGATGAACTTATACTGATAAAAACACACCATAGAATCAAAAGTTGATTAAAAAGGTGCTAAGAAATAGCATGATTTTAATGTAAGACTACAAGGCATATCTGAATTGAAGGTGAATTGGTCTGAGAGCTATATGCAAGGTCTTGATAAATTTGGCACCACAGTTTCCCTTGTGATGCTGAAAGGATAAATTGTGCTAAAAGATGATTCCCTTCCTATTTTACTAACTTCTTTTGTCTATCTGAATTTATACAACTTTTTCCAAAGTTTTCTTAAAAATGCATTATTTAGTAGTTTATGTGAACAAAATTATGTTTGCAACCACTTATATAAATCATTCTAAAATGTAAAGATTTAGAGACAGATTATCTGCTTACAAAACTCTGATGACTTCAGCTGATTTATAGCCCCAGACTTAGGCCATCAGCTTTTACTGTAAAATTCCAATGACTAACAAAATCTACTCAGGGTAGTATTTCTTAATGATGTCAACCTCACATCAAGTGCTGGAAAATCTGGCAGTACAAGAGCCAGTACAACTGCTATCAGAGTGCCAGCATTTAAGAATGGGACACGGAGAGACACGGGCTATTTGTGTCCAACAGCTGTTTCTATATACTTTTGTAAAACAATATAATACAGGCTTGCTCTGTATGATAACTTTGTTTTTTCTGTTTCAGGACTACACGGCTACCATATTTCTAAGGCAGCGATGGACTGATGAGAGACTTTGTTTCAATGGTAATAAGAGTTTAAGCTTAGATGGTCGGCTTGTGGAAATGCTTTGGGTACCAGATACCTTCATAGTTGATTCAAAAAAGTCTTTTCTTCATGATATCACTGTTGAGAATCGTCTTATAAGAATATACCCTAATGGAACTGTCCTGTATGCTCTACGGTATGTATATACCACATACCAACCTTTATATTTGGCTTCTACTTGCCTTTTAAACTTTCCAGGTTAGCATAATTTTATGCTTAAGAAAATGATCTATTTGAAAAAGTAGAATGTACATAGTCTTGTAGTTTTACAAATATGTAATATTGTTGACCGATACGATTAAATTCTTAAATTTAATAATGGGTCTCCTTTTCTTCCCTAAATAGAGCCTTTTGCTTTCATGTAGACTAAATACGGGAAATGTACTTTGCCATTCCAGTTGTTTTGCAATGAAGTCACCACAGAGGAAAGCAAGCTGTGACAATTGATTGCATTATTTATTGCAGATTATGCTTTATAATAGATTTTGATAAATATAACAAAATTGTAAAATATATTGTAAAATATCAACAAAGGAAAATGCACACTGTAAGTGAGAAGGGAGCAGGGGATGACCTTTTTAGACTGCCACTAAACTCAGCTATTCTGGAGTGGCTTCCTGGTTTGGATGCTATTACTTTTCCCCATTAGATACTAGTCAATACTAGATTTGTTTTCCTCGCAGTAGATATTTGCCTGCAAATATTAGTTCAAGAAGAATACATAGCTTTTTTTATTTCTACTGATGAGCAATTTTATTCCGTTATTAATCAGAAATATATTTTTTTTTTTTCCCCCAAGGATCACCACAACTGTTGCATGCAGCATGGATCTGACCAAATATCCAATGGATAAGCAGATGTGTACTTTGCAACTGGAAAGCTGTAAGATGCTCAATACTTACTATTTTTATAGAATTAGAAAAATATCTCTGATCTTTTTCAAGGACTGCTAGATATTATTATCAAAGAGGCTGGAATTTTCAAAGAAGCTAAGGGACAGTGTGTGACCAGTCCCTGTTGAATTACAGTAGTATCTGTATACAAAGATAAATGCACGAGGCATCACTGAAAATAGTATGGCAGTACTGAAACGCTGCCATGCTATTAATGATTAAACAAAATCTCAGGAGATTATGATAGGCCTGGTTTTGCAGTGCATCCTGCAGTTATTCTGTTGGTCTTCAGGGGGAGTTCTGTGAGCAGGCGTTTTCTGGCACAGCGGAAAAAATGTTTTTTATTTGTTTTTCTCTTTCAGATAGTACGTAATTTTTTCCCCCAAGGCACAATTCCTTTAGGAAAGAAAGGAAGTGGAATAAGGCTTACTTGTAAGGCATAGAGTTCATATTTAATTAATTTACTGTCTTCATACTGAAAAAAAGGTAATTGCATAGACAGTTCTGTTCTGACATGGATATATACAGATATTTCTGTGACTTATTTAATTGTGTCTGTGCCAGTGCCCTGGGAAAAATGTCATCAATTCATGGAGCAAGACTAAATATACCTTATAGGTTCTCATCTTATTGATGTCCTCATAATTTTCATTAAAATATGCTCTGTAATGCTTTGTAGACATGGTTGCTTTGCAAATACCCAAACGTGCATATTTATAGTTAACTTTTTGCTATTATTCATATGATAAGGCTCTATCAAAATATTTTTGCATGGGATAATGTAAAAGGATACCCAGTCCTGTAAGATGAAAATATATGTTCAAATATATACCAATACATCTTCAAAATCTTTTGGTGTGCTGTGTCGTGTCTTGCCTGCGCCCCCTGCCCCATCCCTACCGATGCATCTAGAATCAGCAGTTTTATAAGATCTGTTTAACAAATAGTGATTTGAATTAGAATTTGGATTTATCTCTAATTTATTTCCCTTTGGAGGAGTGTATTCCTAAGTCAACGCATATGGTTTTACATCAACAGCATTGCCTAATGAGTCATTTAATATTTTCTCTAGTTCTGGAATGAAATATATGTCCCATAAGTAGTTAAATTTATTTGACAGGATTAAAAAAGGGAAAATTCCCTATATAATTAAAAATAAGCATTTTTCAGAATGATTCCATCTGCTTTTTCAACAACACACAAGTGTCTCCTGTCCAAGGGGAAAACACAGTAATGTCATCACAAATGCTCCCATGACATTGGTGTTTAAAGAAAACACCTAGAAGCAATAAATGCAAAAGGAAA